GTGGTCCAAAACACAGAGCTTGCGAAGGTTAAAGGGAGCATTGGTAGCCGTTTGAGAAAAAGGGAACCGAGGACAAGCTAAAATAGGTCGGCTGTTACGCAGCCTGTTCACAGATCACTGTGTAAAATGGAAACCAGCATGATAAACTGTCAGAGGGGATTTAACATCATCAAAACGATCGGTGCATTTCGCCGGCTTGTAAGACAAGATCACATGAATAGAGGCCATGGGCACAAAAGTAGTCGACAGCTATTTTAGCCCGCGAATGATGTGGCGGTGCACTCTTCGACCTCAGGCTACGTGCCGAAGGGCACTCGGTTGATCTGACCGTTGCTGCCTACAAAGAGCGGCGTGTCTCGTTTCTCCATCGCAAATGCTTGACCGTATTGAAGGAACTGTAAGAGCCGGTAATTCGTGCTGTGATTTTTAGCAAAGATTTTTAGTCATGTGCAAGATATTGTGTGGTCTTGCGAGAAAGCAAAATATGCTGAGCGGGACATGTTGATTGCTTTGCTAGCTGATAAATGCAAACAATTGGCATTCATTGGTGAAAGTGGGTAGTCCAACAAATGATGAGGCAGAACTTTTCACTGCAGTTGTCTGCATAATTAGCACTGGTCATTCAAGGCTTTCATGGCTTTGCCCACTGTCATTTAATCAAGTACTGGTATCCAGTGGATTGTAGAATAGCAGCAGATCACGGGAACAACTAAAAGCACGCGCCCAAAATTGCAGGAGAAAACTAAAATGCTGGACGAATTGCTGGAGCTTGAAATTGCATACAGCATTCTGAAAACTGACAATGATGCTGACCGGAAACGGGATCCAATCGATGTTCATTATGAAAAACTCCATGCGCAGCTCGAGGTTACTTTACTGTTCGTGTTGGATTCCAGGACTCTTCTGTTCCGTCCACTATAAGCTGTAAGCCTTAGAACATAGAAGATACTTCATACAACGCAGGCAGTGACTCTTTTTCTATTCAACGCTGACCCCAAGCAGTGACTTTTTTTGAAGTCCACACTGTGTCTAAATCTGCAGTATACTTCTTTTTTTACATTCATACAACAGAAGCCGCATTCTAATAGCATTCATGAGAGGAATGTCAGATCAGCGGACTGAGTGTAAACAGTTTTTTTGAAAACCGAGTGTTTTTTCGCGTTTCTTTGCTGATATCAGTCGTTTAGGTGGTGGATGAAAAATCGGATGAATGGAAGCTTATCCAGAAATACGTTGCAAATACTCATGCACCAACGCATACGCTTTATAAGCTTGAAGTTGTTGATGTAAGTATTTGTTCATGTTCTTTTTGTTTTTTCATTACTTGCGAAATTAATATCGGAAGCTGAGCACATTTAAGAACCAGAAAGAATGGATATGATGGGATCTTGTCTGGATGTCGATAACGATGCTGTTCCATTTTTGGATGCAAAAATTAATTTCTAGATTATCCGAGTAAAACGTGAAGGTGAAAATGAACGATTTCGAAAAGATATCTCAAACCGATACTTGCTGTGGCATGGTTCACGGATAACGAATTATGCGGGCATTCTGTCGCAGGGATT